TATATTCATTTGTGATAAATACCATTTGGTTCCTTTTATTTTCTCATTTGTAGACCTATAAATACAATTTTTACCATTCATCCTTCATGAACTTTCAAATTTATATCCTCCAACTTAGTTTTATTTCATTTTAATCGCTTTACCACCATAAAAAAAAATTATTCACTAGTAAAGCAACATCTACCGTATTATTATTCTATCAAATTTAAAGGTCTCGATTCTCGAATACTATCGTGGGCTTAAAGTTTGAACCAATATTATTCATCTAAACATTGTTGGAAATGAGCGCCTATTTTGATCCTTTTTTGGTTTAACTATTATTGAAGTTTGAAATGTTATACTACAAGTCTATAACCCAATTTGCCTTGTTTTCCAACATATTTGGAGTAATGTATACACATCCATTGCTAAAGGATCACAGGTAGAACTCTTTGTTAAGTCCCATTTACTAGCTGAAGCTATGGCAATCCAAGCAGCACTCAAACAAGCGTAAAGCATGGGATGGAGCTGTCTCTGCATCAAATCAGATGCTCAAACCATCATCCGAGCAATAAACTCGAAAGACTAAATCAATAAAGTTTACGATATTCTCCAAGATATATATATATATCAAAATCTTATCTCCTATGTTTTTAAGTATTTCGTTCTTCGTTCTCTTACATTCCTCGATCTACCAATTTGTTAGCTGATTCGCTTGCAATAACTGCTCTTCGTAAGTTTCTGATTGCCATTGTGTAAGACTCTATTCTATCAGTGAAGTAATTGTTAAATAAAAAAGTATACAACATTCACTACATTATATTCGGTGACGCTTGCATGCAAAATATTCGTCATTACATATTGTCTCACATAAGATTTTTTTTTCTTTTTGCAAACATCCTACATCAATTATCAATGAAATCTCATAATTGGCTAGTGAAAGAAAATGTGTGATAAACATTCCCACCCAAATTAGAGCATCTTTACAGGCCCGGCCCAACAAAATTTTAGAAATTCTATGACAATTTTTTTTGGGGTCCTGATGGAATTTTTTTTAAACATATATAATTTGCTCTATAAATATTTTGTTTTGGTTATGCAAAAAATTAACGCTAAAATATATGGACATGAAAGTCTAAAATTTATCTAATTTTTTAATTAGACATTTTATAGCACGTTAACAGTTGTATGTTTAATGTCTAGTGTTTTTCTTAAAACATTG